AATATCCTAACATCTAGGATATAAAAAGAACTCAAAAAAATTAGACCCCCACTCCAAAATAAAGACCCAATCAAAAATGTACAACTGAAACACAGTCACTTCCTAGAAATAGAAATACAAATGGTCAGTAAGCACTGTATGTGGAAAAAAACGTTCAGTGCCACTGGCCATTACAGAAACGCAAATTACAGTAATAGTGAGATACTGCCCTATTCTGAAAGATTGGCTACCATCAAGAAATCAAATAACAAATGCTGACAAGCATGTAGAGAAACAGGAACTCTTCTATATTGTAGGTGGGAATGTAAACTAGTACAATCATTATGAAGATTCGTATGGAGAGTCCTCAAAAACCTAAAAGTAGAAATTACATTTGACCTAGCTAATCTCCTTCTAGATATCTTCCCAAAAAGAATTTAAAATCATATTACAAATTTCTGAAATGACAGCAACTGGACTAAAGAGACAACTTAGTGCTTATATTGTTTAATTAATTTTGTATGCTTGTATCTCACCCAGAGTAAGTCCAGGAGACAGAGACATAGACACAGAAAAAATTTGAAGCCACATACCTGAAATTTCTGAGCTGATGGCAAGAGAAATAAAGACACAACTTAGTGCTTATGCTGTTTGATTAACTTTGCATACCTGTCTGATGGCCTGAGCATCTATTTAGAAGATAATAATGTGCACTACAGTAACTATGGTTGATTTCCTACTGTCGTTTTTGAAATTCAGTATCATTTCCATTGTTTTTTTCATTTTATTGCTTTATTTTATTCTCTTTAAAATTAAAAAGTCATATTACAGAGATACATGCATTCCCATGTTTGTAGCAGTATAACTGTTACTAGCTAAATCTTGGAAATGGCCTGTATGCTGATGGATGATTTGCAAAAAAGTACTAATAAAATTGAAAATAAAACAACACTAAGATTCCATCTGACCCCAGAAAGAATGGCCACCACCAAATAAGTCAAATAATAGCAAGTGTTGGTGAGGTTACAGGGGAAAAGTGTTGGTAAGGACTACAGATGAGGCTACACTGTTGGTGGAAATATAAATGAGTACAACCACTATGGAAGTCAAGATGGAGATTCCTCAAAAACTAAAAATAAAAATTCTTTTCCACTCAGCTACTCCCCTTCTAGGTATAGTTAAAGACAGCATATTATAATGACATGTACATATCTGTGTGATAGCAGCACAACTCATAATACCTCTAGCTTTTTTTTTTTTTTTTTTTTTTTTTTTTTTTGTCTTTTTCCTTTTTATCGGTATCAGGGATCAAACTCACGACTGCCTGCTTTCAAGGCAGGCGCTTATGCCGCTGAGCTAAACCCCCAGCCCCAAATACCTCTAGCTTTGAAGCAGCCTATATGCTCATCACTACTTGACTGCATTAAGAAAATGTCGCATTTAACCAGGTGTGGTGGTACACGCCTGTAATCCCAGCACTCAGGAGGCTGAGGCAGGAGGATCACTGCAAGTTTGAGACCAGCCTGGGCTACATAGTGAGCTCAAGGCCAGCCTGAACTACATAACAAGATACTGTCTCAAAAAGACCCCCCCCAAAAAAGTGACATTTACACACAATAGAGTACAACTCTACCATAAAGATAAGACTTGAGGTATCTATAGGTAAATGAATGCAACTTGAGACCACAATATTAAGTGAAATAAGTCAGATACACAAGCTTAAATATTATATAACAAAAAAATAATTATATATATATATAGAAAGAGAATGTAAAACAGAAGACAGATAAATATGAAGAAGACAGATCTTTTTCAAATGAAAGGAGAAACAAGAGATGAAGGGAAGGGGGTGAGAGAAAAAGGAAAGGGATGGGAAAAAAAGAATGAAGGGAAGAAAATGATAAAAATAGAGCTTTTGCAAATGAGAAGAGGACCACGAGCTGGAAGAAGCAAGCAGGGAAAGAAGAAGTGGGGGCTCAAAAAAAAATTAAGATATGTTCTGTATAAAACCAACACCCCACAATAAATGTAATCATTATGTAATGCAAACATACTAATAGAAAAGATAAAAAATAAAATTATGGAGTAATTATCCATAGAACACCCACTATAAAGCACTAGAACTGTAAAAACTAGTTATACACTAGATAAACGAATACCACCTATTTTGAGTAAAAGAGGAATACCAAATCATTCATTCATACAAGCTTCAACTAACCTTTATCATTTAGGAATGAACATACAGTTGGTAAGAGGAATGATTTTCCATTATGACACATTCATTCACTGACTTCCAAACTCTGTGAGCTGGAGCCAAAGGGTTGGGTTGTTACAGAAGGCTTTTCCAGGCTTTTTCAAGATGAAGCTGGACATGAGCCGGGACAGATCAATTGTGTCTTTTAGACATAAGCACTCAGCTTTTAAGTCAGAGGAGTGATATAAAAAAATATGCTTGAAGCTTCTTACTATATTTTTCCAATTAGGCCAGCAAAGGCTGGGTTAACCATAGGAATCTCCTTTTCAAAGGCTCCAACTCCTCTGCTTAGGAAACAGATGTCAGGACCCTGACTCCCTTCTATACCATAAGGACTCTTGCTAACCCACTGCTTTTTCATGTATGACAGCTTTCCAAGTGAAACATGATAAAACACTGGAGGAAAAAAAAAAAAGTTCTGATGGCTTTTCTTGCTCTTGACAAAATTAAAGGGTAAGAAAAACAAAGACAACTTTGAAGAAAATGGTATCCTCATGTCTCTCTTTAGTAACAAGACACTACTAAGCAATACACACGTAAGCAACTAAAATGATATAGTACTGACAGAGATGGACAGAAACAGATTCATGCACACACACAAAAAAGTAAGACTGGCATTAAAGATCAGAAATAAAAAGCTAGACTATTCAATGAGTGGTACTTAATGCATCATATTAATACTTGAATATCTTTAATGACTCACAAAGTAAATAAATATTTAATAACACAGAACAGAATATAAACATACTACAATATAAAGATAGTCCTTCTGATGGTTCAACTTTGTAATTTTTTTTACTTTATGATAGTGCAAAAGCAACCCACACAACCAGGCACTTCCAGTAGAATATTTGATAAATGTGAGCTATTGAGTACTTCACTGTGTATGACACTTAGAGTTAGATGAGTCTGTTCAGCTGTGAGCCAATGTGTTTTGATCATGTTTAAATTATGCTAAACTTAAATTATGACGTTCAGTAGATTAGGTGTATTTAATGTATTCTTGACTTACTGTAGTTTCAACTCACATTGGGTTTAATGGGACAGGCAACCACTTAAATCACAGCATATCCAATAGTTTTCTAAGTAATATACTATTAAAGCCATATATGATTTAAAATGCAAAAATTATTATATTTGATTAGGAGTGTATATATAAAGCAAAATATAGAAATATATGACAATGAAATACCAAATTCAGATGAATAGTTTTTTCTAGGGAAACAAGAGAGTACCCAGTAGTGTGGTATCTAAATATACAGGCATTTGCTACATTACTCTTTTTTAAAAAATCTTAAATACTCCATGACAAATCAGTTATTTTTTCAAATCAGTTTTTTTAATTAAAGTAAGTTTTTGAAGTATGACAACATGGTTTTGTTTTGTTTTTCTTTTTGAGACAGGGTCTCTATTCAGTTTAGGCTGGTCTTGAGTTCATTTTGTAGCCCAGGCTGGTCTCTAACTCGTAACGATTCTCCTGCCTCAGCCTCCCAAGTGCTGGGATTACAGGCGTGAGCCACCATGCCCAGCTGAGTACAGGGGTTTTGGGTGTTATTTTTTGGTACAGGAATCAAACTCATGACCTAACACTTGCAAGGCAGGCGCTGTTCCACTGAGCTGTATCTCTAGCCCCTGAGTAGAAGATTTTTAAATAGTGAAGTCTGCAGTAAATACTAGAGATAGAAGAATGATAATAAGAAAAACTAAGGCAGGCATGGTGGCTCATGACTTTAATCCCAATACCCTGAGAAGATAAGGGAGGAGAGTTTTAAATTCAAATCCAATCTGGGTAATTGTGACACGCTGTCTCAAAATAAATAAAGGACTGGGAGTCAGGCATGGGAGTAACATGCCTGTATTGTAATCCTATCACTAGGGAGGCTGAGGTGGGAGGAATGTCAAGAGTTGAACGCCAGCCTCAGCTACAAAGTGAGTTCAGAGCCAGCCTGAACTACATAGTAAAAAAACAAACAAGAGCCAAGGATTTAGCTCAATGGTGCAGCACCTGCCTGGCAAGTATGAGGTCCTGAGTCTGATTCACGGTAGAATAAATAAATAAAAGGGCTGGGTATGTGGCTCAGTGTAAGGGCCCTGGGTTCAATATCTAGCACTGCTTAGAATTTAAAAAAAAAAAAAAAAAAAAAAAGGAAAAGCTTAAGAAATAGACTAAATCCTGAAACAGCCTTGTTAAACTTGGTTTAAAAGAAATTTCTGTGCTCACTTCAGCAGCACATATACTAAAACAAATTTCTTTTATTTTTGCTTTATCCCACAGAATATTCTTTGACAAATACTAAGCAAGGGAGAGTCCTAAAAGACAAGGTATAAAACAGGATAAGTTTGTTGGTGAAAGACACTTGTTTACCATTTATTTCCTATCTTAGCACAGTTTATAATACACTGGTGCTTAACAAGTTATTCGCTGGGGGCTGGGGATTTAACTCAGTGGCATAAGCACCTGCCTTGCAAGCAGGCGGTCGTGGGTTCGATCCCCAGTACCGGTTAGAAAAAAAAAAAAAAAGTCATTTATTGAATTAATGAATTTATGGAAAGAAGGAAGCAGGGAAACAAAGACAAAAAAGACAAATTAAAAAAGCAATTATAATCGAAGTAGAAAATGCTATGCTTATAATAACCACTTAAACCTACTACTTTTTTTCTATTTTACAAGAAATATTAAGTTAGAAACTTTCAAGAGACATGAAACAAAGTAAACACAAAGAATCTGGTTCAAATGAGGCAATGCAAAAGCCCCATATGTACTCACCATTCTTACGCTCACTAAGTGGAGGCAAATTGGGATTCCTGCCAGGATGCAGGCCCAGGGTCAGCTCGGGCTGCAGGGAGAGCTCCTGCAGTTCATTGGCAACAGCTTCACTCTGAGGGCTGGGTGCAGCAGACAGGGACGTGAGCACCGGTTCTTCATCATTTTCGCCAGCCCCACCTCCGTCCAGCCCATTCACAGCAATGACGGAAGGGGGCAAGCACACCACACTGGAGAAATCCACTTTGACTTTTGTGATGGCAGCTTGGAAATGGAAGAAGAAACAAAAAGTTAGATGATACCATGATGAAACCTATCAATGAGTATGTGTTAAATTGTAATGTTACCAATTATGTATTATTCTTGAAAGCTTTTAGTAAAGCTAGCTAGCACTGTTATTAAATATACTAACAGAATGCATGAGATCTCAAGTCTGACACTGTCCTCAACTGGTTCACTCAGGAGGACAACATACAATTGAAGTAAAAGCAGCACATACACATATATAACCAATTTAAAAAATGCTGATCAAGAAGAACCAGCTATGAGATAAATGTTACCTTCAACTACTATGGGAAACCATCTTGAGAAATAACATTCAATGAATAGCCACAAGGTATTAAAGTATCCATACTGTACCAACATAATGTGGGGGAGAAATGCCTTTAAGAAAATAGTGGTATGACATGCTTGGTATATGTGCGGTGGTGAGTAAATCCCTAACATGGGTGAAGGGATTCCCAAGCCATTAGATTACACAAAGAAATACTAATATAGAGATGTGCATTTGATGATATTCACCCAAATACTTTAACCTATACAAATACTCAATAAGTAACACAACCTAGTAACACAAAAACAAGATCTTTCAAAATGACCAAGTGTGGTGGTGGCACGTGTCTATAGTATCAACATTCAGGAGTCTTGAGATCAAGAGTTCAAAACCAATCCTGAAAACATAGCAAGACCCATCTTAAAAATGAAAAGAAAAATGACAAAGAATTTAAGATGGAAGTCTTTTCAACAACACAGTAATAATCATTGCCAAGGTCGGGGATTTAGCTCAGCGCCACAAGTGCCTACCTGGCAAGCACAAGGTCCTAAGTTCGATCCTCGGTACCAAAAAAAAAAAAAGAAAGACTGCCAAGAATGGTGACACATGCCTGTAATCCCAGCATACAACAGGCTGAGGTGGGAGGGTGTCTGCGAGTTCAAGGCTAGCCTGAGCTACACAGCAAGTTCAAGGCCAGTGCTAACTACATAATGAAACATTGTCTCAAAACAAAGCAAAGAACGATTAAGTCAAATTAAGAAAATGTGCACACACCAACTCCTGTGCAGTTATTAATAACTTTTTTGTGGCAAAAGGGATTGAAATTAGGGGTGTTCTACACTGAGCTATATCCTTACTCCACTTTTTTAACAAAATTTTGAGACATGGTCGCAAACTTCCAATGCTTCCCCAATTGCTGGGATTACAGGAATGTGTTACTATTGTGCACAGCAAGAAAAAAATTTTATAAAGCATTTTAAGCGTGGAAATGTTTAAAGCTATTTTTAAGAAAAGTAAAATATAAAAAGGCACACTAATACATAAAAACATTACCCAGGCAAAGCAAATTACATATACCAAAACACAAAACTGCCTTTGTTTGCCTGACTGTAAGTTTTTATTTTTCTTCCCAAATTCATTTATTTTTAAATTGACAAGATTAAATTGTATATTTGTTTATATATCTATTATGACTCAAAGTATATACCCACAGTGAAAAGGTTACTTTCTTATAGATTCCAAGTTTTCTATAAAACACATTGATTCTTTTTTATACCTAAAAATCTATATTCCTTGATCTAGAAAAGAAAATTCTTTACAGACTAGAGCAAAAACTTCAGAAACCAGAAATATCCAGGCACAGCCCAGGAAGACAGAAGCCAGTTCACCCTCCCCATGAGGCAGCAGAAGCCATGCTGGGTCTGAGAGGAGCACATCAAGAAGATAGTTCACCCTTCTGGTAAGCTGCACAAACCACATGGGGCCCAGTAAGAGAAGCCAGTTCAACCTGCCCATCAGCCAACCAGTACACCAGCTGAGAAGAAAGCTCCCCCACCTCCCCATAAGCAAACAGCTGGTTTGGAGGACAGGCTGAGTCGACAACTGAGGTACAAAAACAGCAAAATGCTTGTACTGTTTGACTGACTTTGCAGGCCTAAGGTTGGAAGTCTGAGCATCTATTAGGAGGATAACAGTATGCAATATAGCAAAAGTGGGGATTTCCTTCTGTCTTGTTTTTTAAATCCAATATTGTTCTGTTTTGCTTTGTTCCAGTTTATTGATTTGTTTTATTCAATGCTCTGTCTTGATTGGTTTTATTGTTTTGTTTTATTTGATTTTACTGTGGCAGATGGATAACTATTGTGAAGATAACAAGATATATTATGGTAGCCACGGTTGATTTCCTATTATCTTGCTTCAAAGTTTTGCACTACTTTCACTGCTTTGGCTTGAAAAAGAAACCAAAAATAGATCAGCCATGAAATTAAGAAAGGCATTGAAAACTGAAAGACATTCTACTTTCATGTAAGGTCACAAACCTGGTAACGAACCTGACGGACAAACCCCATAAATGTAAAATGGACTGGGAAAGATCCAGGTAAGAGTACTCACAGTGACATTGTGAAGAACAAAAATATCAGGAAGGACTTTCTACCCCTAAAAGAGCTGGAAAACTTGAGACAGGCAAGTTCAAAATAAAAAAAAGAATTAATATCCCAAAGAGGTAATACGGGCAAAACTGGGAACAGAGTTTGAATAATTTCTGAAGGGCTTAAACAAATGGAATTATAAAACAACAAATGTCTACTATGAAAATTCAGAATCTAAAAATTTTCTATCTTGCTTATGATTTGTTTTCATTTAAATAGTGTTTCAGTGTATACTGGGAAAACAACTGTTACAAAGGATTAATCTGGTTCAGTATTCTTTTTGCCATTAACTCCAAACTTGTGTTTGCTTCCTTTGAAAGCAGTCACTCCAGAATAAAAAGACTTCAATTTATAATATTCATGGACCTCTTAAAACCTAACTTACTTAGGGAGTCCTCAATACCATCCCTTCTAACACGTAACGGAATGTGTGCTACAAAAGATCCTTAAGTGAGTCAAATAAGGGAGGAGGAGGAGGATGGTATAAAAACTTTAGCCTAGAGGCGGGTATGGTGCACACCCGAAATCCCAGTACTCCGGAGGTTGAGGCCGCAAGTAGAGGTCAGTCTGGGCTGCCTCAAAAGACAAACAAACAAACAAACAAACTTTAGCCTAAGACTTAGGAAAAATGGCTTCATACATAGTAACAGGTTTTTAGTAAACCACTGTTACACCGTTCTGGACTAACTGTTCACATTAGGGCCTGGGGTGTCATTGCTCAATGGTAGAGCAATGCGTAGCGCGAGGCTCACTTAGCACCAGAACAGAAACCTGCTAAAGAGTTCATACCTCTCACTAGAAAACTGGTAGGATTTAATTGTTAATAGCAACAACTGTGGATTCAGTAGATAGACCCTGCAAATAGTATTTGCACAAAACAGGCACTGGATATGTATTTGTTGACCTAACAAAGAGAAGCAAATTAAAGATATATAAAGATCACCTGGGCACCAACGAGGATTAAAGATACATAAAGATCTCCCGGGGACCAATGAGGACGGTCTTAAGGGGAAATCTGGATAACACAAGGAAGGCTGCACAAAAGATAGAACCACTAAGAATAATGTTCAGAAGTCAATGACAGAAACCAGCAAATCAGTACTACACTAAATAAGTACTACAGCCAAAGTGTTAATGCCTAAGGCTGTGTGTGGGGGAACATATCTGTAATCCCAGCACTCAGGAGGATGAGGAAGGAGGATGGCAGCCTGGTCTACATAAGCCAGCCTGAACAACATAGCAAGACTAAAGAAAGAACATAGCAAGACTAAAGAAAGAAAGAAGAAAAATAAATGTATTGATGATATATAAAATTCTTAACCAAAAAAGAAAACCTTTATAATTTCAGACCTGCTACTACCTCTAAAACCGTAAATTGATGTGTGATTAAGTAAAATTTGTATTACTTGGGCTATGGATGTAACTCTATAGTACAATGCTTGTTTAGAATGCACAAGACCTTGGATTTGGGGGCTGGGGATTTAGCTCAGTGGCATAAGTACCTGCCTTGCAAGCAGGTGGTTGTGAGTTCAATCCCCAGTACCGATTAAAAAAAAAAAAAAAAAATGACCTTGGATTCAATACCAGTGCTGGAAAAGATAAAATAAAAATTATTCTATACGGATGTAGGGTTGGTAGAATACAAATAGTATCAGGACTTTGATAGTATTTACCAGATTAAATGAAAATCTCAAATGCTACTTCATAATGTTTAAAATGTCTTATAATTATGTAAAAACTTTTACATGATTACAAAAGAGACCAAAAATTAAATGTTAGTATGTCAATGAATATCTTATTTTCAAATGAGTAGTTTTTGCATTAAAAATGGCCTGGCAATAGTATTTAATAGCTACAGAGTTATAGTTTCACAAGACAATAAAGTTCTAGAGTTCTGATGTAATCATCATTAATATACTTAACACTACTGAACTATACACTAAAATAATTAAAGAGTAATGTTACATATGTTTTTATCGTATTATAATTATTTAAAAACAGCTGGACAAAATGGCTGCTTAAAAAAATACTTCTTGCTGGGCAAAGGCTTGTACATCTATAAGCCCAGCTCCTCAGAAGGCTGAGAAAAAAAGATGGCTTAGGCCCAGAAATTCAAGGCCACCCTGGACAACACAGCTAGACCTCATTCAAAAACAACACAAAATTATGAAGTTAACTCATACTAAACTCATATTCTATGAGTTTAAAAGAGTAAAAGTATACATTCTTCAATACATTCTTTTCACAAATTCAGAAATAACCTCCATCTTGATTTGAACTACATAACTGTCATTACTGCTGAGTTCAGAAATTTGACATTCACATATGTCAGTATTCCCAAGAGACAATAAAGATCTATCACTTGATACCATGATTTTTCTAATGAAGCATGAAGTTAAATTGTGTGGGTCCGTGAGTTCTTTAGTCTTGCTATGTTGTTCAGGCTCATTTGATGCATATATCCAGCACTTACAGAAAATTTTATTTATAAGAAACTTTGGGGGAAACAGCCCCTATGAGAAAGTCAACCTCAGTCTAGGTTTAGGTATGAAAAGTAAATG